TTACTTCCGGTTATGTCAAGTGGGGGGAAACGCAAGCTCACCATCGACGAGGCATCTGCTGCAGGTACTTCTGGTCCACAAAACCCATCGCCTTCCAGTACATGTGCGGGCAGAAGTATGCATAGCTATGCATATCATGCCACAAAAACAAAAAGAAACTGGGTCACGTCAAGCACAAGGCTGAGGTCACTCACCATCGACGAGCATCTGCTGCAGGTACTTCTGGTCCACAAACCGGGCAACACGAGGGGCAGCGCACACACTCTCCTCCTTCACAAACGCGGCTGCCAGAGGGCGGACAGCAGCAGCCTCTGCAGAGGCTCCCACATCTCCCCCCACACTGCTGCTCTGACTCGCCCGGTGCTTCCCCTGGGCGGCAATGAAGAGAGCCTCCACGGAGGGGCGCGAGTGGATGAGCCCTCGAGCCCACGACAGCAGCAGCAGCTCCGCCAGCTGGTGGTGTGTGATGGAAGGAGATTGAGGATGGGGGTGGAGAGGACAGAAGGTGGGAGACGACGGATGGAGAAGGCAGAGAGAGAAAGCGGAGAGAGAGAGCGGTGAGATGGTGGATGGTAGGTTGGAAAGTGCATGCATCCATTCATCCATACATCCATGCATACGTACATCCATGCAACGACCAGCAGCGATGCTTACCTCCAGTTGACCACAACTCCATTCGTGCCCTTCCGCCCTGCTCTCCCCACTGCTGCTGCTGCTGCTGCTGCTGCTCCTCGTCCCACTGCTTCTGTTCTCACTACTGTCGCTCCCAGACCACTCAGCCGGTGAACCAGACTTCCTCTCCTGCTCCTCGTGCTCCTTCTCCCCTCCCTTAAGCGCCAACAGTCGCCGCGACGAAGACGATGCGGATGGTGGTGATGGTGATGAGGAGGATGAGGATGGTGGTGAGGAATCGGAAGAGGCAGACGCAGCAGAGCTGCTGCTGGGCGACGCACTGGAGGAGGAGGAGGAGGAGGAGGAGGAGGGAGGTCTTCTCAAGGGGCAACCCATGGCCGTTCTGACAGCAGTGTGGGGGAGGAGGAGGGGGGCGCGCAGGGGATGGAAGGTGCCTGCGACTGTAGCAGCGTCTGTAGCAGAGGCAGCTGCTACAGTGAAGTCCACGTCAGACGAGTTGGACGGCACGCGCAGGTAGCGCCACGTCAGCGCGCGAAGCGTGCAGTTGAGTAGAGGGTCCTCGGGGCACCCTCCGCACGTGCCCCCTGGCATCACCTGATTGGCTTCCAGATACACAGCCGTGCTACGAGCTAGTCTCTCCCTAGATCCCCCCTTTACCCGTCCTCCCCCACCCTCCTTTATCTCCCCCTCAGACCTCCCAGCAGCTGCTCCCGTTTCCCCCAGCGCTCCCTCCTCCAGTAATCTGCTGACACGTGGCGAGGGCTGCAGAGCGCCCAGGCAAGACTGGAAGAGGCGGAGGGCGGAGCATGCCTCGGGGGGGGGTCTGGGGGGAGATGCGGCGATAGGGGGTAGGACGGGAAGGGGAAAGGAAATAGAAGGGAAGAAAACGAAGGGTTGGGGGGACCGGGGGAGAGGAAGTTCCAGAGAGGGGGGGGAACACTTGTGGCGAGGAGTGCAGTACGGTGGCAAACTTAGTTCGAGAAAGACGCATGGCGTGGGAAATGAGACTTAAAAGTGTTTAAGAAGAATTGAGACTCCGAGTAGCTCACCCATTCTCTGCTTGCCACGTGGCTTAGTCCAGAAGGGACCCACAGCGACAACGACAATCCGGGCACCTCCGCGCTGCTGCTGCTGTTGCCGCTTGTCGCGCTCGTATTGGCCGATTCCGACCCCTCGTCTACACAGGCCGGCAACGAGACTTGCACCTCTTTCCGTGACTCTAAAAGAGGAGCAGCAGAGGCTGCTCCCGTTACAGTCACACTCGGCCAAGCAGCCTTATCCTTCTCGTCTAACCGTAATGCATCTCACACCGGGAAACCCGCTGAATAAATCCAAGAACCCCTCCCCTGCGGGTCCCTTCTTGGGACTGCCGCCAGCGGAATCAGCAGCACTTCCGTCCACGTCAGCATCCGCGACCGCTGAGTCACTCCACACAACGGCTACCTCCCTCGCCTTATCCCCTTCCTTCTTCCCGCATCCGCCTCCCCCGGTGCGCGCGCGCCCCACACCGCGCTGACGGCGGGCGCAAGGCAAAGCGCCTGCAGGCGTGCGCCTAGGTTGCCCTGGGAAAGAAGAAGGGGGGAGAGGGGGGGCGGAAGTAAAGAGGGATGCAGAACCAGGAAGGGCGGGAAGCGTGGATAGAGAGACACGGAGCGTGAGTATGCGTATGCACTTCACCGAGCGTGGGTACACATGACACATGCGTACAGGCATGACAGCGAGGGAGTGTCTGCCAGTGAGGGTCGCACCTCGGCCACAGCGATCACTGCAGCGTCGCTAACTCCACCACCTGATGTCGCCCCCGCCTCCCCTGATGCCGACTCCGCCTCCCCAGATGCCGACTCCGCCTCCCCTGATGCCGCCCCCGCCTCCCCTGATGCCGTCTCCGCCTCCCCTGATGCCGGCCCCGCCTCTCCTGATGCCGACTCCGCCTCCCCTGATGCCGACTCCGCCTCCCCTGATGCCGCCCCCGCCTCCCCTGATGCCTTTGACTCTCCCGCTGCTTCTCTTTCCGGTGCGACATCCGCTTCCCATGCGACATCCGATTTGGCTGCCTGTGCCCCTGGGCTGCTATGTTTCCCCTCATGCGCGCCAGCAGCTGCCTCCGCCTTCCCCCCGACCTCCTCCTTCTGCCGCGTATCGCTACCAATCTCACGCCCTCCCTCCCCCGTCGTGTTCTCCTCCCGCGTGCCGCTCTCCTGCCGCGTGCTGTCGGTATGCAGCGTGCTGCTGCTATCCCGTGCACTCTCCTCCTTCCCTACGTGATCCTTTTCTATCCCCTCCTCCCGCCGCTCATCACGCTGCTCCTCCGTTCTGCTGTCTGATCCCTTCAATTCCCCCTCCTCGCCTGTCTCGCCTCTCTTCTCGCGGGTGTCATTCTTCGCTTCCTTGGTCAACCCGCCAACCTTGATCACCATCTCTTCCCGCTTCTTCCCTTTCTCCTTCTCCGCAATCTCAACAACCAGTCCTTTCCCCTTTTTGCTACCCTGATCACCCGTGCGCCCATTACCGCCGCATCCTCTCCTCGCTTTTCCCCCGCCTTCGATTTCTTCGATTTTCCCCGGTTGCCTTTCCGCCGTTTCGCTTCCCCCTTGTCTTCTCGGACCTCTTCCACAGTCACCACCTCCCCGGCGAACGCGCCTCGCCAGCTATCCACCCCGTCGAATTCGTTTCCGCCATCCACGGCGCTTTTGCCGGCGCCGATACCCTTCGCACTATCTTTCCAGTCGTGGCTAGTGATGGCTACTGTGACATCACTCGACGACGAGAGAAGGTTCCGCGAACCCTGCATGTTCTGTGAGAGCGAAAGCTGCACGACTCTCCCCATGGCTGCTAACGTAGCGACAAACACTATGGCGAGGACAACTCCGATTGCGATAAATGAGTGGATCCCCGCAACCGGCGCCGTCGACGAATCGTCGCCTTTTACGCGTTTCGAGCCGCATTGACTTGATTCCTCCAGACTGAAAAGGCGAAAGTTCCCCGAAAGAGGGCTCCAATTTCTTTTCCCGCTGCGGTGGTGGAGCCCGTGCGAAGCGGGCTCGCGATAGGCTCATCGAAAGAGTTGCGGGTTTGCGCTGGTAGCGGCGAATACGCACGCCGCTCCATGACTAGCGGGAATTTTGTATTGGCTCGATCCGTCGCTCGAGTGGTCAACCTTTCCTCAACGAGCACTAAGGAGCAAAGTGTGTACGAATCCGCATTGAGCGTGTCGACATCCTTCCATTAATTACAAGATGGCCCAGCAGTACTGGTGGAGGTTTAGTGTGAGATGCGTCACGTAGGAAGAAAGCCAAGACATCATGCGACCTGGGAAAAAGGCTGCTGGTGATTATCACAGCCAGCCAGCCCTGGCTGTTGAAATTGATCCAGGTGCGAGCGGGCGGGAGAGGAGGAGAGATTCGAGGCGGATGTGTGCAACGCGAATGTCAGGTCAGCTCATGCCCACCAAGCCTCGAGGTTGTCAGGCAACCCGTAGCTAGAAGTCCTCCAGAATGCACCTGTTGGGGGAAATGCGACACGGAACCTCTTGGGGAACATCGATTTCTGAACTTCTATTAGGTCCGGGACCGGTAGGCACTCCCCCAAACAAGGTTCTGTGGGCTCTCACCATCAACCTCCGAAGCTGCGCCCAACCAAGCTTCGGCCACTCGTACACCAATGGCAGGCAAGTTCAGGGTCGGTTCGGAACCAAAGGCAAACAGGTCGAGCCTCTCTATCCGAGCCTCTTTATCCCCGTGGTTTGTCAGGCCGAAGCCGTGCGACATCGCCACGAAGTACTTCGGTGTGGTATTGAGCGACTCGTTGGAGCATGTTTGGTGCCACCTAGCCAATGGGACGATGTTCGGCGGAACAAGTGCCAAGTGGACACACGCAAATGGATTCTACGACTTCGGCGGCTTTCGTGCAGCGACGTGCGAGCGATAGACTGCGTTTACTGCCGGATGTTACCTCCACCTCGGGAATAGACAACTCATTGGCTGATATTATTACAATAGCACACCTCAGACTGAACAAGCTTAAAAAGTGAGGCATTTGTGCTGTTGTATAAGGACTCCGAGGAGCGTTGGTGTCGACTCGAATGCTCCGTCATCTGAACGGTACGTTCAGTTTGGGCCTCCAGATTGTAGTTGAATGTGTTACGAATAGTAATGCTTGAATATTACTGTGCACCCCTCACCGCAGCAAAGAGAAGCACGCAGTATCGCGAATGAATACGAAGCGTCAGACGGTTGGAAACGACTCGAAGCGTCAGACAGTTGGGACGCATCTGAACTGTCGGAGCAGACAGCATCAGGCAGCTACAGGCAGGATGGTTTCGGCGGGAACAGTTTCGTAACTGTTCGCGCCGCACAGTTGGGAACGTATTTGAATAAGGGAACGTACCCCTTAGAGTATAAGGCTAGCTAGGTCGTTTCATCTCCCCTGTACTCATATTTATATTTGCTGTATTTGCATGTTTTACTTCATCTCAAAGCATTTTACATTCACTCTGCTATTGAGGTTAAGGGCCCACCAACATCACTTCTCTGCGTGCCAACCTTCCTGAGTAGATCTTAGGCCACAATCAACTACTGATCGCAGCATGGTATGAGAGCGACTCAGGAATCCTTCGCACCGCCATCTCCGAAATCTGCGACATTCGGAAAGTGGCGTCCGGCACACGATCACGTGTAAGAATGGCCAGAGGATCTGGAGGTCAGACGAATCTGGCGGCTGAAGCGCAGCCCAACCCGGCTGCGACAAACGAGGAAACGACGACGATTCCTTCCGCCGTCCTTGCACAACTACTTCAGCGACTCACGAGCCTGGTGCAAGGGCTCCAGACATTGCGGAATGGCGATGCGGGAACTCCTTCCCAACCCACTCAACCGGCCTCAAACGGCCAAAACTCCGCCCCGCAAGGCTTCTCCCTAGACACGAATGGCTCAAACCCCCAAGACTCCCTGTCCCAGCGATGAAGCAATTCTCTCTGCGCAATCAAGGTTTTTGAGCATATCAAAAATAAAGACAAGTGTGTGCTTTGACGGCAGAGACTTTTACACCTGGAGCTTCGAGCTGGAGCTGCTGCTGCAAAACGCGCAGATTTATCATTCTTTCGACGAGAGCTACTCGGGACTTGCTGAGGACACCGACGACGCAAGGACTCACTATTATAACGAGTCCCTGATGGCATACGGGATTCTTCTGCGTAACATGTCGCCGGCGGAGCAGCTGAACATTCGTTCATACAAGACATCGGCTGCCCTAGCCCTCGACGCTTGGCGCCACCTGAACGGCGTGTATCAGCCCAAGGACTTCCGTCTCCTTGAGCCGATTACTCCAGCAATTGCTGGAAACTAAGATTACCTCAGGGGAGAAAGTCAACAGCTACATCAACTGCTGTCGCAGCCTTCGCGATCAAATCGTGAAGTTGGGAAGCTCGATTTCCGAGGAAATCTTCGTGAACATTGTGCTTCAAGGGCTTGGCCCAGAGTGGCGGCCCTGCAAGGCGCTCCTTCGACAGCAGGGGGTCATCTCGGAGGCCGCCCTTTGCGCCGCCCTTCTCGTCGAACAACGGGATATGGATCAGCAGCGACCAGCGCCACGACGAGAACGTGAACGGCTCGCGTTCTACGCCGACAACAACGAAGAGCGACGACCGCGGCGCCTCTACTGCAAAATCTGCAGAAACTTCGGGCATTTGGCGGATCGATGTAAGTTCCGATCTCGCCCTCGCCAGACCAATCCGAGCAACTAGTCCGGCCGACAAGACGCACGAGGCGACGTGCGTCCAGCCCAAGGGTATCAACCCCCACCCGCGCGCAATCTGAACTCAACCATTCAACATCAGCAGCAGCAGCCATCAACTGCCCCTACGCGCAACGTCAGGAGGAACATGGCCATGACAGGCGAGTCACGTCGTCGCCGTGTTCGCCCACCCTCACCTGAGCCAGCACCGCACCCCATCGGCGCATTCACCAACAACAACCCGTTCAGCCCGCGCCGCGACTTCAACGACGACGACGACCAGGACTGGAACCTCCCAGTCCTGTTGCTTGAAAGTCCCCCGCACATACCAGATATGCGGGTGGCGCCACCTGATTGGCTCTCGCGCGAGCAATTTCTGAAGTTCGACACTCCGCACATCGTTACACCGCGACTGGCGCTGCTCGCACGTGACGACGACAAGCGCTACAACACCTGGTACCTGGACAGCTGCTGCGACCAGCATATGGTGGGCTCCGAGTGTTACATATCCAACGCCGTCCCCACCCCTACAGTCACTTACGTCACTGTGGCAAACAACACACGCCTACGCGCAAGCGCACAAGGCATTGTCGTGCTCAAAGCACGTGGAAGCCGCACGCACATCACGCTTAACGATGTGCTGATCGTCCAGAACCTGCGCTTCAACCTCCTGTCCGCCGCACAGGTCATGGATTGCGGCGTCGACCTCAGCACGGATCGCGAGACGTGAGACATCCTGCTGCACTACGAATCGCACACATTTCCCCGCAGGCAGATCGGACGAGCGCACTCCGAAAATGGAGTGTATGTCCTAGATTTCGACATTCTCGACTGCAGCGGCGACTCGCACGAGTTGATTGATCTCGTGCCACTGCGCTTCGAGCACATCCACCGCAGGGATTGGAAGCACCCTGACGACAGACCGTGGGTGCCGCATCATCCCCACCCACGCGAAACGGCGTTACACAACCCCGATCCGGATGGCTCTGCAGTGATTGTTACACGCCGACGACATCAATGAGCGCGATTGCCGGCCGCGGACTCGCCGCCATCGCTGAAGCAGAGCGCCACGCACCCTCAGAGGAAGGGATGTCGTAGCTCGAGCTTGAGGTTACTACCCACGGCATTTTCGGAATGCCAGAGCATCCCCTCATCGGTCCCCCCTCACAGCACCTTCAAGGCATGCTGCGCGAAACTGGCGTCGGCACCTTTGATGCCCATGGCGAGCCACGACCCTACACCTACAAGAGGTTTCTGTCCATCTACTCTCATCGACGCGACTCATCGAAGAAACTCACCGCCGAGCAAGAGGAAGAATTGGCGCGCCGCGAAGCTGAGGAGCTTCGCCAGCAAAGCCTCGTAGAAGCACGTGGGACCTTCGCTTGCGCCACCTGGGGAGCTAAGGCTGAAGAAAGTGCCTCCAATGAAGGGGGGTGGAGGAGCGCTGGAGGATGGGGAACAAGTGACACTAGCGGCTAGGGAGACAACGGCGGAACCTGGGCCAACGCGAGCGGCGGATGGGGCGCCGCAACTAGCGCCGACAATAGCGGTTGGGGTACTTTCCGCGAAGAACGAAAATGGGGAGAGGATGAAGCTGAGGAAACTGAGGCAACACCTGCAGTCGTTCCTCTTGGTCGCCCCCCGCGTCACATTCCACTCGCACCACCTCCTCCTGACAACCCCCCGC